TTCACTGTTCTACAGCTCACAAATTGCAATCATTAACAACTAGTGATTAATAAACAAAAACTTATCCAAACCTTGACATTCTAACCTTCCAAAGCTCCCACTGAGATTTCTAATCTTACCATACATTTTCCTTCTCATGCATTATTTTGTCCTTTTTTTCTTTTTAGCCTGGACTCTGAGTTTCTTTCTTTTTAGCTCTCTGTGATGTGCTACTATATCTGTTTCATCGTTTATTTGGTTGGGGTTTTTTGTTTGTTTGTTTATTTTCCCCAAAGATCTTCACTATAGGAAACACTTGATCCTATACTGAAGAGAGTTTTCCTCAGTAGGCTTCTCTGTGATAGCAATTGTCTGAATTCAGGTGTGACACCATACCTTTGATGCCGATTTGCAGATTTTTGTAAGCCAAAGACTTCAGTATGACCTTATGATAGTCATGATGTTTACTGTTATTATGTTTATTTTTAAAGCAGCTCTCAGCATATAAACTAAACTATAATGTGTTTGGATGGCAAACAACCCCAGTGTGACTTGCATTGAGTGGCAGAAATACATGCGTTACCATCTAATGGATAATTTATTTAGTTTGCAACCTAAAATGAAACTTAACATTTCATTGTAGATTTTTATCACTTCACAAGGATGCATATGAATAGGAATAATATTTGAGTGGGTTTATGTTTTTATCTCAGAAAATGTTAGACCCATAGAGATACGTGCTGCACGCTGCCCACAGAACACTCGTGTGAATCGTTCTCCAGCTGACGTCTCTGTGGGAATGCATTTCAAGGCATATGATTTGTTTCAACATTGCAAATTTTTATGTCAGTTCCATTTGTTTGTTTTTTATAACATTTATGACCTTTTAACTATTTGGGCATGTTCATTCAAAAACCTCAAAATGAGTTTTAATTAAAAAGAGTCCATCTAAAAAAAATACTCCCTCACTCTGGCTAGAATTTCTGTCATATCAGTCCACAGACAAAAACAACTGAGATTTAGGAGTAGTGGCGTTTTCAGTTTGAGTTACTAGCACGAGCTTGTGTGATCTTGCTGAACACTGCCATTTGCAAAAGAGCAATTAAAACAGATGACAATCTGCTAATCATGCACAGTTCTATTTAGAAATCTAGCAGTATTTTCCCAGTTTTTGTTTTTGCTTGACTTCTTAAGAGGGAAAGGAAGTTTTATGTGTTTATATTGTATATAACAGTATGTAAATTTGGGAAACTTTATCACAGATCAACCATTTTCAGTAGGCTCAAAATAACACTCCTACATTTTCGGAGTACACTCTGCGTGCGTGTTTGTGTAGTATATGTTTGTGTGCATCTATCTATGTTTGTGTGAATAGTATATTCCATATTTGGTTTACAAAAAATTGGTTTTATGCAGATAGACAAATTCTGCATTTGTGAACAACAGAAAGTTATGCAGCACGCATCTCTAACTGTTAAATAAAAGCTGATCAGGAGGCAGGAAGCAGAGGCATGCTCATGATTCGGCGTTTAGGAGTGGTGGCCTTTTCCCGTTGAGTTACAGAGGATGACCTTGCTTCATTTGCTGATCACTAGTCACCCTCGTAATATGTAGATTTTGCCTGTGATTTTAGCCTTGAAATCATGAAGGCCTGTCAGTGGTAATGCTCCACTGGTATTCAGATAGGAACACTGGCTACACCTAGAGGTGAAGTGGTTCAGGTGGCTTTGACAACAACATTGAGAAGTTCCGGTCATTTCAGAAGAACCTCTGAACAGCAAGAAATGAGTGAGAATAGTTAGGAAGCAGGGAATAGGAGGCTGAAAAGGAAAAGGGACAGCAATCAGATACAGGTATTGTATTTGGTCACCACATCGTGATGTGAGGTTATCATTCCCCTGCAGAGCTGTGAGTTACCTCTTTCCTAGCACGGATTGAAGTCTTCATATTTCTGAAAGACGTTGCTATTTGCCTGGTGTATGCTCTTCATGAGTGACTACATTAACTTCTCAGCTACACAGAGGAGCATACTGGAAGAAAAGCATAAAGCCTAAAGAAATGATTTCTCCATCTTCTCCCAAACTCATGATTTGAGAGGGTGGTGGGCAGTTTGAGATTTTGTGATTTTTTTCCATGATGGGACTATAGGTTCTAAGAAAAGAGTATTCATTTTGCACCTCATTCTTTCATGACTAATCTCGAGAAAATAAAGGGAATGTTTTACAATTCTTAGCAAATTTTGAACGCTTACTAAGTATTACTTAATCATGGAATTACTTTATATCATAACATGGCAGGATTTATCTTAAAGGTGATGTGTCTAATGCATGCTGCATTTTCCCATATGTTAGGGGAATTAGTCAAACACATTAATAGAGAATATATCTGTTTTATAATAAGCCTAGTAATGATATTAGATCAGCTGCTGAGATCCTATGTGGCATTTTAAGTCCATTATCAATACGGATGATTTGATTGCATTTTTAATGGTCCATCATATAGTTATTTGAGGAAGAGGAAGATTTGCAGTTGTCATATTTATCCATCATAAATGTTTTTAGGTTATTTAAACAAATATCCTCTTAGTTTGTAAGGAAGATGCTTTGTAAAAGCTACCCATTTCAATTATTGTTCATTGTCTGTGGATACAGAATACAGGATCTGATAGTGTCTTCCATTAAAAGTGAAAAACCGCCTGTTAACGTCACTGCCAGATTGGGTCCTTAAGCAGTGTAAAATAGAGCTGACTTTTGAAAATGTATTGCTGTTCTCTGCAAATTGTTCATCTTTTGTTGGCTGCTACAAGGATTCCGCTTCCTACAGCTGTATTTTTAATTGAGAATATGTTTTAATAAATATTTTATTTTAAAAGGTATATGGACACCTAATATAGTAAAATAGGATACAAGTTACTGAGTGTAGGTTATCTTAATGTTTAGATGTGGGAATAATGCGTAGCACTCATTAGCAAGTGTGCATTCAGGATAGCTAAAGTGCTGGTATATATGCCAAGTAATTCTCCCACAGAGGTATCCAGACAGCTTTAGTGCTGTAAATGTCTATTGTGCTTATTCAATATGTTTGGGAGAATTATATACAACTATAGCCTGTAGTAGCTCTGGCTATCCTGTACTTGATGCAGGTTTTCTTTTGCGATTGCTTTCCAGGCCTTCAGTTTTACCAAGCTCCATTTCAGAGGTTCCTTCTTTCTCTCCTGAATTCCCATAAGCATTTTGTTTGCTCTTCATGCACCAAAGAAGAATAAAATGTCTTCAAGTTAAGGCCTTACTGAATTTCTTTTTATCTCTCTTCAGTGCACAGAGACCGTAAAAAGCAAAGAAAATGTGGAAATGGTTCTGAGGGGAAGCACTCTAAGGGGTGGGAAAGTTATCATCTACTCTGCCAAAAAAAAGCTAGGAACGTGAAAAAGCAGGGAAAAGGGGCAGGAAAATGTAAAGACAAGAGAAAGCAGCAAAAGAGAGTACACACCAAAAGTTTGCAAAAGAAAACTAGTGGTGGAAAAATAAAACCAGAGAGACACTACATAAGAATCACTGTGACACAGAGTGAGCAATTCTACTGTCTCCTTTTTCCCCCAGCAGTTCTGACAAACGATAAGAACTGGAAAGAGGTGTGCAGAAGGGATAAATTTTTATAGTTGTATGTGATGTATATTTGCCTACTTTCAAGTTAAACTGTTCTTTCTCTCAACAGTTACAGTAAGCTTGTGGAAGTGATGCTGCTTGTTTCAGTGATAGCTGAGCATTTCAAAAATTCCAGTCCTCATTCAGATAGATTTGTCTCACACACATGTTTTCCTGTATGTCTAATAAGAATTTTAAAGCCTGGTTTGGAATAAAAAGGTTAGACTAAGAAAACCAAAACAGAAACAAAAACCTCTGATATCTTACAAATATTTGCTCATTTCACTTGAACCAAAGGAAAGGTTTGATGCAGACTTCAAGAGCTGAGGTACAGCTTATACTTCCAGATGGATTCTATTCTAAAATATAAGTAGTGTTTTGTAATTATGCACCGTGGAGGATTAATATGCTTCCTAATGTGCTTTGCTCATAAGGGAGCATCACCTACTGGACAGAAACCTAAGAAGTTTTTCCATCTTTTTCCTTTTTAAAATAACAAGAAAATCTTTGTATTGCTATGAGAATAGATGCATGTAAGATGTTCATGTTTCCAGTGGAAAAAAAAAAATTGCTTTATAGTTGTAAATTAGGTGAAAATATGTTATGGCAGAATGTTCTCTTTGAGTTTTTCTAGATCAGCAGTTACTGGCTAGGTGAGCTTATTGTTTCTCATGTTCCCTCTCCATCATACATATCTCACTTAAATATATGCTCCTCACTTGGGTGGAAAAAATGTGGAGAGAGACGTGCTTACATCTTTAACATAGTAATTGTTCAGTTAGTCTCATTTATGGGGGAAGGAGGCTATACTTCACTGATACCGATTAAATATCCTATACTGGGTTCTATATAAATAGCTACAAATGTGCACAATGGTTACATTACATGGTATATTTAACAACATAGCTAAATCAGAAAGTATGAGCTATCCTTTAGTGATGGGAGTACTAACGATTGCATGCAAGAAGATTTTTGCTCTGCAACCATGAAGGAAATAATTGCTGTTCAGCACTATTCAGTTAAGTTTGCATATCAGTAATAACACATGCACGGAGACTCCACCTACGTTCCTAGTGCCCTAGTACTGATATGAGTGCAGCATATATTAAAGCTTTAGAAGGACTTACGGTATTCACAACTTGCAAAGTGCGCGTAATTTTTAACGGAGTTAATTTGACCACTGTCAGGTGAAATTGCAATGGTGATACACAGGTTTTATCATTTTTGTATTTTAAACATAAAGTACCATAGGTGGCATTTTACAGATTTCTGGGAGGACTACTTCTGCTGAGGTTTTAAATCTTGCGGGTTTTTTCGTCTTTTTGATTGATTGCAGATATAAATCCATAAAGCAAATGTTTGTTTTTCGTATTTTAGATGGAAGACTTTATTTGAAAACTACTGTCATGTATTGA